TTGGCAGGACTTAAAGGGTCACCATGAGCTGTTGCCAAAACAAAGAAAGATGTCTATGATAATATTTTTATTTAGTTAACACAGATTTAAACAGAACCACATTATGTAGTTGAACTTTTCATTATAAATGAAAATATAAAGAATTAAATGAGGAAAGGCCTGTGTTCACTTGATGAAAACATGGATTTCTACCTTAGCATGGCCTCCAAGCCTATCCACTGCCAACAAACATGTAGAAGGTCTTGTTAACTTGGAGCTCTGTTCCCTGCTTCTAATGGAAGCACCAAGAAAATGACTTCTTCTCTGGTTACATCCTGTAAAAATAAAGGAAGAAACAAACTCAGTTGCTCCTGCTACACTGTCACAACAATTCTTCTGCAATCAGATGAGGGTGGAGTTTTTTCCACATGCCATGTAATTGTCCAGTGGATGCCAACTGGGTACCTCAGAGTTCAATTTCTAAAACTACTCTACCTTGAGACCCACTTGGAGGTAGTGTCAGACCCCAACAATTCGGGACTCAGCCCCAGCAGACCACCCTACTTCAGATGCCAATCTCAGGACCATGCCACTGGTACTTCTTACCAACTACGAACCAGGATCCTGCCTCTTTGGGTTAATTTGCTAGGACACCTCTCACAACTGAAGGAAATACTTAACATCTCCTGGTTTATTAAAAGTATTGTAAAGGCCACACAATAATGAGATAGTTCCAAGATAAGGGGTTACAGGGTAGAGTTCATGTACCACCCTGCCAGCAGGAAGCTCATCAAATCTTGTTCATGAGTTTTCATGGAGCCTCCTTTGCAGCCTCCCTCTTCCCAGAGGTTGGAAGAGGTGTTGAACATTCCAAGACTCGACTCTCTTGGCCTTTCTCATAAGTGGTGCCATTCTAAGGGTATCTAGGAGTCTGGCCTTGTCATCTCATTAGTGTAAATTCAGATGTCATCTATATGGGCTCATAATGAATAACCAGGCACTCCTAAAAGGAAATTCCAAGGTTTTAGTTACCTTGTGAGGGGAATGGGGCAAACATCAAGTATATTTTGTATTATACCACATGTTCCACAAAACTATGAATCTTATCAGTTTAAGACATTTAAAAAATGTTAAAGGTTTTCTTAAGTTTTTATGAGTACATCTGTAGTACATAATGATTGCATTTATCATGGCGAGCTGGTACATGTGTGTTAATATATCTTAATTCTTTATGTGTCCTGTTTCTCCCCACTTCCTCCTGCCTCCATCTCTTCGTCTCCTCATTTGCAAAGCATCTATTTCCCTGTCTCCTATTATCTTTTATTGTGTTCTTTACTTATTCTTTGGATTCTCATAGAAGAGAAACTATGCAATAGAGTATCTGATTTATTTCATTTAACATTATGGTATCAAGGTGCAAATTAAAGAGTTATTTTGGCTCACAGTTTGTAGAGGTTTCATTCCATAGTCAGCTGAGTCCAAGACAGGGACATGGCAGAGGAGGACTGCTCATGGCATGGCAGACAGGAAGCAGCGAGATCAAGGGAGGCAAGGAAAGCCATCCTTCCAGGCCACACCCCCAGTGACTCAGCTCCTCCAAACAGACTTTACCTCCCAGTGTTACATTTAGCTATAAACTCTGGACTGGTGAACCCATGAGTCAATCACCTCTTAAAAGCCCCACCTATGAGTGCGTGAGGCTTTGGGGGCTATCTAGATAAAAACCATAACAAATTAAATTTCTAATTTTAGTTTTTTGCAGAATCTCCATACTGATTTTCCATAGTGGTTGCACTACTTTATATTCCCAACAGTATAGAAGAGTTCCTTTTTCCTCTCTGCAGCCTCGGGAGCATGTTATTTGATTTCTTGATGATAGCCATTCTTTCAATATTAAGATGGAACCTCAGTGCTGTTTTAATTTGCATTTCTCTAATGACCAGATATATTTTTTCATGTATTTATTGGCCATTTGTACTTCTGAGAAGTGTATTTACATTTCAGTTGCACATGTTTGATTCACTCCTTCCTTTTGGGGGGGGGTCTAATTTTTTTAAAATTCTATAAATATTTTAGATATGAGTCCTTTTCCACAGAGTAACTGGGCAAATGTTTTTCCCACTCTGTAAGCTCTCTTTTCACTCTGTTGGTTGATTCCTTTGCTGTGGAGAAACTTTGGTATAATCCCACTTGTTGAATTTTGAGGTTATTTCTTGAACAATTGGAAAGTCCTTGCCTATGCCTGTCTTCAAGAGTTTCACCTATTTCATTTTCCAGCAGATTGTTTTTGTTATAATATTTAAGTCTTTGATTCATTTTTTTAGTTTAGTATATATATAGAGAGAAATTCAGTCTTCTGCATTTTGGTAATTTTCCCAGCACCATTTGTTAAAGAGGCTGTCCTCCAGCATGTTTTAACCACTCTTTCAATGATCACATGGCTGAATGTACCTGGGGTGGTTTCAGTATCTTCTATTTTGTTCCATTGTTCCATGTGTCTATTTTTGTGCCAATACCATGCAGTTTTTATCATTGTAGCTTTGTAATATAACTTGAAGTTGGATTGTAATGCCTCCTGCCTTGCTCTTGTTGCTCAGGGTTGCTTTGGCTAGTCTGGGCCTCTTCTGGTTCCATATGAATTTTAGGATTGTTTGCTCTGGTTCTGTGAGGAATGCTGTTGGTATTTTGATTGGGATTGCATTAAATCTGTATGTGAGTTTTGGAAGTGTGGCCGTCTTCACATTATTGGTTCTGCCTATCCAGGAACAGGGCATATATTTCTATTTTCCGATGTCCTCTTCAACTTCATTTTTCAGAGTACTGTATTTTTTGTTAAAACATGTCTTTCACTTCCTTGGTTAGGTTAATTCCTAAGTATTTAATTGTTCATGATTCTACTGTAAATGATATTGTTTTACTAATTTCTTTCATAATGAGTTCATTTTTGGTAGACAGGGTTCAATATTGGTATTCATTTTTGTATGTTAACTTTCGTATCCTACCTTGCTGAATTTGTTCATTAATTTTAGAAGTCTTTTGGTGGAATTTTTTAGGTCTTCTATGTAAAGAATCATATCGCTTGCTAAAAAGGATAATTTGAGGGCCGGGGATTTAGCTCAGTGGTGCCACCACCTGCCTTGCAAGCACAAGGTCCCGAGTTCAATCCCTAGTACCTCCCCCCCCCAAAAAAAGATAATTTGACTTCTTTCTTATACATTTCCCTTTTTTTTTTCTTTCTCTTGCTTGTTTTGGATGTTTTGAGAACTGTATTGAACGGGAGTGGTGATAATGGCCATCCTTGTCTTTTTCCTGATTTTAGAGAAAAACCTTTCAGCTTTTCTCCATGTAACAAGATGGAGTAGGTTTGTCCTAAACAGCTTTTATCAAACTGAGATAAGATCAATCTGTACCTATTTTGTCCAGAGTTTTTATGAAAGGATATTGGATTTTTTCAAAAGCTTTTTCTACATCTTTTGAGATGATCTATGATTTTTGTCCTTGCTTCTATTTATGTAATGTATTAAACATTTATTGATTTCCATATGTCAAACCATCCTTACATCCTGGGATGAAGCATACTTGGTCGTAAACTATGATATTTTTAATGATTTGTTGCATTGTTTACCAGTGTCTTGTTGAGCATCTTTGCATCTGTTTAATTAATGAGATTGCCCTATAGTTTCCTTTTTCTAGTTGGGTCCTTGTCAGGTTTGGGAGTCAAGGTAATGATAGCTTCTAGAATTAGCTTGGCAGTTATTTTTTGCTTATCTCCGAAGCCTACCCTTTCTTCGATACAGGGAAATAAGTGAAATGAGTCTCCAGGTCTGTATTTCTTTACAGCTCTAAGTCCTCAAGGACTAAAACACCAATTTGACCCCTCCACACACATATACATGCTCAGATTTAGAGAATGTATCTTTGGTGATAAATCAAAAATAACAGCCAACATTTACTAAGGACTTCTTTGGTGCCAAATATTATAGTTACCTAAGAGAAAATACTCTGCTAATGACAAGCCAGGTAAGTCTGATCCCTATAGTGCATGCTCTTCCTGCTCCTGGACAGGGCAGCAAGACTAGGCAATGGGAAAAGTGCGAGCTTAGGGTCCATTGTTTTACATCTATACATAGGATTATTATGCTCCAGTACACAGCATGAGGAGGTGATATGAAATGAGAGAAGGCAGTGTGTCCCTCATTCTGTGCTGCTCACTGACCTGCACAGGAATTGCACTGCCCACACCTGGGGGCCTCAGTCTACTGTTTTTAATATCTTGATTTGTAATGGTCTACTTGGAACTCAGCAACTTAATTTCAATAGCATAAAACCTTAATTTCAGTAGTATACTGCTTAGCCAGGCTTGTTCATCTCACTTCTGGGTTAGGTCGAGGCCAACAGGTCCGGAGAGCAGTTACCTCCCTTGGTGGGTATTGTATCGTTTTCTAAATCTTTCTAAGCCTCTTTTCTCATCTGTACCGTGAAGATAACCGCAACTGCCTCTCGGGTATTTTGGGGTTTACATTGCTTTTGAAATTCTCGACCTTCCTTGTACAGGGATTTATTAAAGGCTACTGAGCTAGCGGTAACAAAGTAAAAAGAAAGTCAAAATCCAGGGTACATCACAGGAAGGCGAGATTGTAAACAAATATCTGATTTTAAAACGCATTTGAAACATTTTTTTTCCAAGTTTGGGGACCCAGGTGTCTTGGCTGGGAGGCGCAGTCCCTTCTTTCCCTCGCGGCGCAGGCGCGGGCTGGGAACGCTGAGTGGAGCGGAGGCAGTTGCCAAGGTGACGCGGGGCAGCGGCAGGGAGCGAGGCACGTCCCGCCCCATCACGCCGTCGCGCGCTCCCGCGCTTCCCCGCCTCGGAGCTCTTGGCGGCGCCGATCACTGGCTGGACGCCTAAGTCTCACTATCCTCACTCCATCCTCAGAACCAATGACCAGGGATTCGTTGACGAGAGTCACACGCTGCCGGCATCAGCATGGCCCAATCACCGCGCCTAGGAGGTTGGGCGGGAGCCCTGCAGACCAATGACGGCAGGAGGGCGGGCCTCGCCCCTTCGGCTCCACCCCCCGGGCCAAGAGAGGTATGTTCCGAGGTCGCCGTACCTGGTAGCTGGACCCGAATCTCCTCGCAGCGCTGCAGGTGAGCGAACTCGGAGGGCGGCGTGCGCGCGAGGAGGGGAGCGGGTCCGGTCGGGGTTGCGCAGCATGGGCCGGAGCTCGCGCCGCGCCTCGGGTGCGTGTGGGGAGGAGCGCGTGTGGTGCAATTGCTGCGGAAGACTCGGGCGCCGGGGGAAGAAAGAAATGGGGCCGCAGAGTGGAGTTCGTATCTGGCGGAGTGGACTGGGGCGTGTGCTTCTTGCCCTTTTAGAAGGTTTACAGTTGTGTCGCCTGCTGTAATCCTAGCATTCGGGAGGCTGAGGCGGGAGGATGCCCGCGTGTTCAAGGGTAGCCGGGGCTAATGGCGAGAACCTGTCTGAAGAAAAAAAGATGTCCGATGGTAAGAATGCAAGAAGTGAAATTGTGCATTCCTGAGGAACTTGGTCTGTATCTCTAAGAGAATGCCTCCCCACTTGGGCTTGTTGTTGGGTCCCGCTGTGTATTTCAGGCCGGCCTTGAACTCACTATGTAGCCCAGGCTGGCCTCGAACTCGCGGCAGTCCCCCTGCCTCAGCTTCTAGAGCGCTGGGATTACAGGCATGCGCCACCTCTCCTGGATCCCTCCCATGTTTATGCTTGAAACGAGTGTGTCCATGCTGGTGAGAGTGGGAAGACTTTATTTAATCTCAGCAGTGAAGGTGGGAGAGACTTAAAACCTCTCTGGGATGACTTGGTGGGCGAAGGTGTCATTCGCCAGGTAGGCAGTGAAGGAAGTGTTTGGGGGGGATAGAGAAGCAGTTGCTGAACTTTCGAACTAGGTCGGTCTGACGTCTCCGAACTGAGTGGAGATGGCCAGCATCCTTTTGGATAATCAGAACCTAGAGCTCTGGATACAGAGCGCGAGAGATGGAGATGGTGGATCTCAGCCTCTGTTTTTAAAACAGGAACTGGTTGAGGAAGGAAGGAGAGGAGAGCACTGCTGCTAACTTTGCAGCCTCAGTTCTCAGTCTGAAGCTGTACCTCGGGCTTGAAGGGCTTGCGAAGTCAGAAAGCCCTGAGGTAGGAAAATTGCAAGTTCAAGCCCAGCCTGGGCAGCGTGTTGACTTAAAAAAATCAAAAAAGGCTTGGGGATGAAAAGATGCGTTCTTTCTTATTTCCTGATAAAGTCTTTGGATCTGCTGCTCCCTCTGCTCAAAACTCACGCCTGACTCTGTGACATCTGATCATCCCCTCTCGTATTCCAGGTACCACTTCAGTTAGCAACTTTCTCTAGAAACTTTCCTGCCCCTGTGACCACCGAGCACTCTCCATTCTTCCCTGTTGGCGTCACTGTTGCGGCGTTCTGGTTATTTCGCAGTCCTTGTCAGTGTTGAGAGCTCAGCTGGCAGTGACTGCACATAGTAAGCTGGAGTTGGGGGTTCTCGGGGGACATGTGAATCCCAGGAACCACAGAGAAATAGCAGTCTTCCACACGGGCCAAGTAAAATGACTCCAGCTAGGAGATCCTTAGTGATTTTATGTGAATTAGTTTGGAAACCACAATGAAAATAGAAAGCACCTGCACTTACTAGAAAGTGGGAGATGAGAAAATGAAGACAGCTCCTGTAGAATACTCTCTGAGTAAACTATACAGAAGATTTCCTTCTTATAATTGTTTTTATTGTGTGCTTTAATATTTAGAACAACAGTGTATGGGGCCGGGGATTTCTCTCAGTGGTGCCTCCGCCTGCCTTGCAAGTGCAAGGACCTGAGTTGGATCACCCGCCCAAAAAAAACCCCACAAAAAACAACAGTGACAGCGTGGGCTCCTTTGCATCCCAACTTTGGGCAAGTTGCTTAACGTTTGTAAGCCTCCGTTTCCCATCTATAAATGAGGATTGGAAAAGTCCCTGCTTCATAAAGGTGCTGTTAAAAATGCAGAGCACGTTGGCACCTTAGAATACAGATCATGGGACATAGAGAGTGCTCAGTAGTTGCCCTGTGCAAAGTCCTGTGCCAAGCACTTTGTGTCCATTATCTCTTGGACTTTGTGGCAGAATGAATCACTATTTGTGCAGATCATTACAGCTCAGAGAGATTACATAACTTGCCCAGGGTCACACAGCTAGTAAATAACATTGGTATATGTGCTGCCGAAGCGAGCACGAGCTAGTAAGTAACATTGGGTAATGACTTGAGCCAGGAGTAATGTTCCACACCTGTAATCCCTGCAGTCTGGGAGCCTGAGTCAGAAAGATCTCAAGTTCAAGCCCAACCTAGGCAATTTAGTGAGACCTTGTCTCAGACTAAAAAAGGGCTGGGTTTGTACCTCAGTGCAAAGGCCCTGGATTCAGTCAGTCCCAAGTGCTGGGGGCGGGGATGGGGTGGATAATGACCCCCAAGAAATATGGAGGTTGGAATGATTTGTCTTATTTTGTGACGTTGGTCTTTGAGACAGCATCTTGCTATGTAGTTTAGGTTGGTCATGAACTCTGATGCCCAAGCTAGCCTAGATCTCACTGGCGATCCTGACTTAGTGCTGAGATTGTAGGTGTGCTGACAAGGCTCAGTGAGATCCTGCTGATTTAACCTCTCACAGGCTGATACACAGGTGTGCCCCACCATGTGGGCTTATTTTGTTGGAATTGGTAACCTGTTAGTGTGGGTGGGGAGCTGAGTGCTGGGGATCCAGTGTGTGGGAGAAGAGAAGCAATCCAGGCAGACAGGCTGTCTTTTCTCTCCCTTCTGACAAGGTCTCCCTATATATTTGAGGCTGGCCTTGAACTCCTGTTACCCAGGCTGCCTTCAGACAGTGATCCTCCTGCCTCAGCCTCCCAAGTGCTGGATTATAGGTGTGTGCCACCATGCCTGTCAATGCAGGCATTATTTAGAGCTCTCCTTTGAGAAGGAGGTTGGTGGATTCAAAGAGAATGTGCAGTGCAATGGTAGAAACCAGGGAGGGCTTTTCTCAGGAAGGGAAGACTTGAATGTGGGTTTTTCATTGTTTTTGAGACAAGGCCTCATTCTGTAGTCCAGGCTGGCCTCGAACTTGTGATCAGCTGCCTTAGCTTCCCTGGTGCTAGGATTACAGGTGAGTGCTAGGGTTGTAGGTTCGATCTACCCCGTCCACCTTGAATTTGGTCTGCATCCGCACTCTCTTGAATCAGCAGTGGAACATGTGCAACTGCCCCATCCAGCAGCTTGTGTCCTCCCATGAGAACGGGCCATGTTCACATTGGAGCCTCCCAACAATGAGCCCGAGAGATGGGAATTGCGCCCCCCGTTGTGAATGTGTTAAACTTGAGGGAAGGACCAAAAGGAGAGGGTAAGGGAGGGACAGGTTGGTGAGAGGTAAGATGAGAGTACAGAAGACTGAGCGGTCAGGGGAAGATGAGTGAAAAAGAAGTTGTGAGGTGCCTCGGTGGTGCTTTTACAGCATTCTTTTTTGTTTCTGGTACTGGGGATCGAACTCGGGCTCTTGTGCTTGCGAGGCAGGCGGCGGAACCACTGAGCTAAATCCCTGGCCCCTCTTTTTTGTTTTTGAGACAGAATCTGCCATGTAACCTAGGCTGACCTTGAACTATGATCCTCCTGCCTCGGTCTCCCAAATGCTGGGATTATAGGCATGTGCCACCGCACCCAGCGCCTTCACAGCATTCTATAACCATCCATTTATTCCACCAGCTGACCACTAGTCTCTAAGTGAAGAAGTCTACTTTATTAATCTCCTATCTCAGGCCTCAGGACAGCATCTGGAGAGGCAGACAGTGTGTCTACCAAGTGTAAACAGTAATGCTGTCCTCGTGTTTCTAACGTGCTGAAACTGTGCATCTCGCAAACAGTTTCACGTATTTTCTCAGACTGTGACGACCAGAATAAGTGTGACTTCATGGAGATTGCTGCTTTGTTCTCTGTGTGTCTTTCTGTACATGTTTCCTTTGTACACCTCTACATACTTGAGAGGGCATAGATAAATTCTTTTCCTTTTCACAGAAACCTAAGTAGAGCCCTCACTATACGTATTTCAGTGTTGCCTCGGTTCACAAACTTAATTGTTCCCACGATTCTGGTTGCAAACCCAAATTGCATCAGAACTCCATCAAATTCAATGGTTGGTTTCAATGTTGACCTTGTGGGGAAATTTGATTCAGTTCTTCACATTCAGGAAGCTTGGCTTCATTCAAATAGGAGACACTAACCAAAAACAAAGAGGTGCTAAATGGGTATCACTGGCTGCACAGGGATAAACTCATTTATCATCTGAGGCAGAATCAGTGCTATCCATCACAACCCCAAACAACCATATCCTATGACCCAGCAATGTTCTCACACAAGTGTGTAAGACAGATATCCTGAGATGAAAGGAAGCGTTGCTTCTTGTTTTTTTCTGCCCGTACCAGGGATACCCATTTCTGCACACCCTGACCCCTGCTGGGCACTGGGCACTGTTCGGCCTTGGGTGTTGCCACTCAGACAAAAGCACCTGTTCCCTTTCGGTTCGCATTTCCTATTTGAGTGAAGCCAAGCTTCCTGAATGTTACGTGACTGTTTGCCTTTATTTTCCTGTGAACTGTCTGTGAATGGGCTTTCTGCTGGGGTTTAGTCTTTTTTCTAAAGCAGACTTTGTAGCCCTTTATCATGTCTTGGAAATATTTTTTCCCAGTTTATTTGATTTCTGACTTTTATCACTTTTATTCTCCAGTTAGAAGTAGTTTTTATAAATAATGTTGGCAGGCTTTTTCTTGATAGATTCTTAATACTTAAACCCAACTATTCCTCATTAAAATTAGAAATTTTTCATAGTGACCACACCCTGAAAATCTCTTTAAAGATAGTTTGAAATGCCTTTCCTACTGCTATCCTTTTAAAGTAACATGTGGGTTTCAAAGCAATGTCTGCAAATGGAGATGTTCAGTAGATTTTTAAAAAATCTCACGTCTAGAAATTGGTACTTGATTAGTAAGTGTCAGCTTTAAAACTATCAGAAGATGCATGTTCAAAACTACTTTTTGGAGCCTGGCATTGTGGCTCATGCCTGTAATCCCAGCTGAGGTAGGAGAATCTCCATTTTGAGACCAGCCTAGGCTCCGTAGTGAGTTCAAGGTCAGTTTGAACTATACAATATAATGAGACCCTGTTGCAAAAAACAAAACAAAAAAACCACTGCTTTTTGGGGTTTTATTGTTTAGCTTGTCTGTTTACTTCTTCTTACAGAATTAGAAAGCTGCCTGCGGAGATTTGAGAAATGGAAGCTAACGGAAGCACTGGTATCTTCAGCTCGGCATCCATGGCTGTGGAGTACATAGATTCACTTCTGCCTGAGAATCCTCTGCAAGAACCATTTAAAAATGCTTGGAACTCTATGTTAAATAATTACACAAAGTTCCAGATTGCAACGTGGGGATCCCTTATAGTTCATGAAGTCATTTATTCCTTGTTGTGTTTACCTGGATTTTTATTTCAGTTTATACCTTACATGAAAAAGTACAAAATCCAAAAGGTAAGTGTGATGGACTTGAGATAGGATGTTATAATTAGTGTGGTTGAATATTTTAAAAGCAAATGTAGCTTTGTTTTGAGAGACTCTTAAATCAGTACTATAGAAAAATAAACAATAGACACAAATGTAATGTAAAGTTTTATAGAATATGTAAGAGTAAAAAGAAATTGGGAAGATAACTTTTATAATATATTTAATCCAATAAATCTCAACTAATAAAATAAAAATAAGCTTAATGAGATATTCTTACTTTCATAAGTCTTTGAGATTCACTGTGTATTTTATATTAAATTTAGCCTATCTCAGAGTATTGAGTGGCCACGTGTTGGTTGGTACTGTACTGTACAGCATAAGAATTGTTAAATTGATGTGTTGTGCTTCAAATAGATGTGTTGATATAATTGGGATTTGTGAATTTTAATTTTTAAACTAGCCAAGTGGTTAGGTGGAAAGCTCAGTGGTGGAGTGCGTGCTTAGAATCCATGAAGCCTTGGGTTCAGTCCCCAGACACACACACAAAACATACACACGAGCTAGAAAAGAATTGTGTGTATTGTGGCCCATAAATTGATTCATAAATAAATAGATGATAGATAAGTAAATAAAAAGTCATTGTAAGTTAATTATAAATTCACATATTTTGAAGGCAGATATCCTATTAATTTTGAGGGTACAGGAAGATGTGCATATCCACTGGTGAGTGCTTTAGAAATTCTAAGATATAACACCCAGTGCAGTGATACACATCTATAATCCCAACCAAGGCTGAGGCAGGAGGATCACAGGTTCAAAGCCAGCCTGAGCAATCTGGTGACTTAGACCCTGTTGGAACATAAAAAGAGTTGGGGAGTAGGTCAGTGAATAGAGTAGCTGTCTAGCAATGCCCTAGGTTTAAGCCCTAGTACCACCAAGAAAACAAAACCAAAACAAAAAAATTCTAAGACAGAATATTTGAGAATTACATTATTTAACTTATAGAACAGATTTATTTTTATAATTCCTCCAACCTCCAAAATAGAAACTGCTGTTGGTGATGAGAGAGTACTAAATAAGGACTTCTGCTTTCAAATAGAATGAATGACTCGACAGTGGGTGCACCAGGCTTCCTGCTTGGGGGAAATTTTATAGGAATGAAAATGTACACCGTGCAGGATCTATTTCTTTTCCCCAAAAATCATACATTTTAGTAATTCTCCGGTATTTTCCCTTGAAGATACATGTACTAAAAGCATTTCTGAAGTCAGTGGTCCCAGTGAGAGTATTCCTTCATAGTAGGGTGAAGTTACGCATACTGACATAAAATACGGTGAACTTTGATGTTGTACTGGGCATGAATTTTTTGTTAACTGTCTTTCTAACTGTCTTGTGTTCTAAACAGTACAGTGTATGGTTCTGTTAATGGTAGTTGATTGGACATGGTGATTTCAGTAGCTACTTGGGTATCAGATTCTAGACAGGAAATTCAAGTGCCTTTGCCAGCCCAAGGCTGAATGTTCAGTTCAGTTTGTCCTCAATCACAGATGATGCTCCGAGTAGAAATATAAAGGCAATGTAATTGTAATGTATCTCGTAAGCCCTCACTTTATTGTTGTTGTGTCACAGGCCTAAGTTGGTTATTGGCAGTGTGGTTTTAGAGCCCTGGTCTCTGGGTTGATTTTTACTTCAACACCTTTCCTATTTTTGCCAGAAAGATATCTCTTGATGAATTTTAAAAACCTAGATTTTAGGGGCCAGGGATGTATGTAGCTCAGTGCCACCGTGCCTGCCTCACAAGCGCGAGGTCCTGAGTTTGATCCCCGGTACCAAAAAAAAAACCACCTCGGGGACAGAGATTTAGCTCAGTGGTTCTGGTGCCTGCCTTGAAAGCGCAAGTTTCCGAGTTCAATCCCCGGTACCAAAAAAAAAAAACACCTCGATTTTAGTCCAATTCTGTTTACCATCTTTTTTTTATACAGAAGTACTTTTTCTTAACTAGGTGGCCTTTTATTTTTATTTTTTTATTTTTTAGGCAGCCTTTTAAATTGAGTAGTGTTTTTGATAAGGACTTGCAAAGCAACTCAGTATCTTTACAAGCTTTTATGAACATCTCCTACATTGACCTCACTTTTCTTACTTTAAATTTGGATTTCATCATCAGATCACATTTCTGAAGTTCTTTAGGCTCCTGGAGTTTATCATCAGGTCATTGTATATGAATAAAGTGCACTTTTTTCTTGACCCAAATACTACTGAAGCATCAATTAGCCTGTTCAGGAAGTTTCCCATGCCATGTTCACACATGCTGAAGTTGAGGTCACCCAACTGTAATCTTAGTGTAACACCGGAGAGTTACTGGCTATTGTACTTCTTTGTTTTAGGTTATTGTGGCTGGGTTTATCTATTAACAAGTTTTTCACCTGTTTAGGTAAAGTAGTGATACTAGTAGTGAAGAGCCTTAGCTACTATAACGTAAAATTTATATAACACAGAATTAAGGTATGTTATGAACATAGAAAAAAGTAGGAATTTCAGTTTATGCTTGTCAGGGTATACTCTTGACAGTAGAAATTAATATTAAATGTGATTTTTCTCAATAGGATAAACCAGAATCATATGGAGGCCAATGGAAATGTTTTAAAGTACTTCTCTTTAATCATTTTTGTATCCAGCTGCCTTTGATTTGTGGAACGTATTATTTTACAGAGTATTTCGACATTCCTTATGAATGGGAAACAATGCCAAGATGGTACGTAGACAAAAACTCGATTTTGATATTCAGTCATGGTTTATAATTTATTAAATTATACTTGATGTTTACCTTCTTTCTTCATTGGGTTAATGTTTTCTTTAAACTTGAGAAGTAAATAAATAGAAAAGTGAACCATAGCACAAACTTTAAAATGTTCCCCTTTTTTCTATATTTTAATATATTTCATTGGAAGTGAGTTCTAGCATCAGAAGCTTTATGATTGTTTAGAAATTTACATGGTTATACTAAGAAACATGATACATTTTAAGTCCAAATTGAATGAAAAATATGAGAGAATAGTTTATGTGGTTTATGAAATTGTGTCTGTAGCCCATACAGAAATATATATATTATATATATTTATGTATATATAAAATCTGAGTATAAGTACTATGTTCTCGCTCAGATAATATTTAAATTCAACTTTTTGTACCTGACATAATTGAATACAGATACACAGCTACCCCTCCATATGTATACCTTCTGTATCCCTGTATTCACCCAACTGTAGATTGAAATTTTTTTTCTTTTATGGAGGGGTTGTCCATTTGTTTTTGAGAGGGTCTTACTCTGTACATGCTGGTCTTGAATTTACTGTGTAACCCAGTCTGGTCTTGAACTCCCAGCTATCTTCCTGCCTCAGCCTCCCGAGTTCTGGAATTACAGGTGTGTGCCACCATGCCTGGCAGATTGAAAACATTTTTTAAAAGAAAAAAAATTAGTGTCTTGGCAAGACATATTTATGTAGCATTTACATTATATTAAGTATTATAAGTAATCTAGAGGTGATTTAAATATATGGGAGGATGTATGTAGACTGTAACAAATCTACACCTTCTTATGGAATGGGCTTGAGCATGTGTAGAGTTTGGTATCTACTGGGGAGTCCTGGACCCAACCCCTGCAGATGCTGAGGGATAACTGTACCCTTTGTCTGCATAAAAGAATTTGAGTATTTTTGCATTTGTATATAAATTATTTTTTGCCATTTCACTTAAATTATTTTTGACCTTATAACTATAGTTAGGAAATGTAGAAATGCCCTTCTCTGGTGGAAAAAGGTGTGCACGGTAGTGCACATCTGTAATTAAAAAATTACAATTAAATCTCAGTAATTTTAGAAAGGAATAAGATATAGGTTAGCAGAAGAGCTCTTACCTAGAATGTTTTGTTTTGTTTTGTTTTGTTTGGTACTGGGGATCAAACTCGGGACCTTGCGCTTTCGAGGCAGGCACCAGAACCACTGAGCTAAATTTCTGGCCCTTACCTAGAATGTTTAAGGCCTGAGTTCAGAAAAGAGATTCAATCTCTAGATTGAACTCAGAAAAAAAGAAAAAGGTGGTGGTGGTTTAAGTATTCTTAAGTTCTTCATCAGTATTACTTTCTTGGAAATTCTAGATTTTGTTTTATAACTGGTTTGAAAGCTGGTCTTTGACAAAATGAAATGGAAAGGAAGTAGTGGTTCATCTATTTAACCTTATTTCAGGTTATATCTCATAGCTATGTCTAGCAGTTTTCAGAATTGGGTGATTAATATAAGCAATTAGGTCAAATGAGAGTGGGGTACTTGATGTAAGATCTCAAGCAGCGATCCTAAATAAAAGTTACTTCGTACTTATCATATTTTCGTCTTAAAGGCATGCGCTTTTGACAAGATGCTTGGGCTGTGCGGTCATTGAAGATACCTGGCACTATTTCTTGCATAGACTCTTACACCACAAAAGAATATATAAATATATTCATAAAATTCATCATGAGTTTCAGGTATGTTAGAATTCTATTTAATACTTTTTTTTTTTTAAGGCAAAATTTCTACTCTTATTGCCTGAGCATTTTTAAATGATTGTCAGTGATAGAAAGTGGGTATGGTGGTGCATACCTGTAATCTCAGCATTTGGGAAGGCTGAGGCAGGAGAATTCCAAGTTTGAAGTTAGCCTGGGGTACATAGCAAGACTCTGTCTCAAAAAATAGCAGCAACAAAATTTGTCAGTGGTGTTTTTGCCTTTCTTTTGGTGTGATTAACAAATATACACAAAACCAATTTTTAAAATTTTCTTCAAAGTTTCATGGTAAATTGAGACATGGAAGAAAAATATTACATGAAATAATTGAGACTCGATCCTGTGGCCAGAATGCTATATTGACACTGTTACACACCTGGCAGTTTGATAGTGGCTGTAATATTAGGGTTGTTTAAATGAGACCCCCAAACAGTTCACTTAATATAATTACTGATTTAGTTTTAACTCATTTTTATCATAGAGCAGACTCCTCCCCAACAAAAACTGATTTTTTTTTTGTTTTAATCAAAACGGTTTTGACATGGCTTTGTCCCACTGGCTGTGTCGGTGTGTTTTGCATCGCTCATGACTGCAGTAGTCACCCCTTAGCCATGAGGGAGACATCCAAGCGCCCCGGTTGATACGTGATACTGTGAGATCTGCTCCTGCATCTCACAGGCAGCTGGGAGGGTAAACACCCATAGGCAGGTCTGTACAGGATGGGGACACCAGACAAAGGGATGATTTGTGTCTTGGGAGCCATGGTACTGATCTCCTTATACCACTCAGAGTGGTGTGGAATTTCAAACTTACGAATTGTTTGTTTCTGTATTTTTCCCTTTAATATTTTTGGGCAGTGGTTGGCCCTGGGTAAATGAAAGTTTGGAAAGTAGAACTGTGGATAAGGAGGGATTTTGCTGTACATGATTTGCTATCAGTCAAGCATCAGTTTCTTGTCAGAACCAATGCAAATGCATAAATACAAAATTACATTTCAAGTCAGTTTTTGTTTAATGTCTTTATCTTGAACCATTAAAGATAATTACTAAGATTTTATGCCCCTAAGAACAAAAAGATGCTTTTATTGAGAACTAGTATTTATATTTGTATGGTCAGATATATTATCACTAATACAGAAAATAGAGCTTCACAAAACTACATACATAAATAGAATAAATGTGTTCTCCAGAGAAGCAGAATCAAGAGTGTGTATATGTGGGGGTGGTGATTTATTTTAAGGAAGTAACTCACGGGATTTCTGGGGTTGCAAGTCAAATCTGTAGGGCGGGCTGCAGGTTGGGAACTTGGGTAAGATTGGGTATTGTGGCGTTGGGTTCATATTCTGCAGAGGAACAAGTTGGAAGTTCAGACAGGGTTTCTGTGTCTTGAGGGTTCCTTCTGCTGCGGGAAACCCAAGTCTCTTAAGGCTTTCAGCTGCCTGGATGAAGCCCACTGTCTTCTACATGGAAGGTAACCTTCCTTCATCAGAAACTACTGCTGATTGAAATATCAGCCACATCTAAGATATACCTTCATACCAACTGGTGTTCAGCCACATGGTTGAGTGCTATATATAGCGTGGCTAGATTGATGCATAAAATTAACCATCACAGTATATTAAGGAATTCTTCCTCTATTTGGGCTAGGCTCCATTTGGAATGGAAGCTGAATATGCACATCCTTTGGAAACTCTGATCCTTGGGGCTGGATTTTTCATTGGAATCCTGCTTTTGTGTGATCACGTAGTTTTTCTTTGGGCTTGGGTGACCTTGCGTTTGATGACAACTGTTGATGTCCACAGGTGAGTTACAGTTTCTGTTCACATATGAGAATATGTGTATTGAATATCTTTATTTTCATGGTCATAAGATTATCTGTATTTCTGAGTAGACTAATAGAAGTGAATCTTCCTTGTGTTACTATTTTTTTAGTCACGTGATAAAATTTCAAATAATAGAAATATTTTTGTATTCCAATCTATGCTGTTACCATTTTCATAGCAGAAGTGTACTATTTAGGCATATTAACTAGCCAAACAGCAATTTCTTGGTCCTATATTAAACCTAAATCTTAACTTTTATTTTGCCAGTGCTAGGAATCAAACACAGGGTCTTATACATGCTAGGCAAGTGCTCTACCACTGAGCTACATCCTCAAGTCTAACTCTTGGTTTGAAAATATATTGAAGCTTTCAGCTTTCATTGAGTAAGACCCTTTCCAATCTCCTTTGTCCAACACTAATGAAAATACTTGCATGTTGAAAGTCTTGCCTATAGTACAGACATACTTCAAAAACTTTCTTTCTGTTCATTGAGATGTTTTGTATTAAATTATTTATGTTGAATACCTTTCTGTATGCTTAATAACTTCACGTTGTTTTAAAATTACATGATCACTGCAGTTTGACTTGGGACTTAACAACTACAGCTAGGAAATGCAGAATATCAAATTTCCTATATCTGATTAGAAATAATGGAATATACTTTAAATGGGACCCTTTGAAGTCATTATGTTGTCCCAACTATAGAAAAGGAAACTGGTATTTTAATTAGTTATGGTACAGTTAGTGCCAAATGTCATTGCCTCAAAAAGTAACAGAAGGTGCTACACAATGATTCTTGGGCTTAACTTTTCTTAAAAGAAATACTTAAAATACTTGATGTTAATTTCATGTAACTTTTCTGAAAAACATAGGTAGTATTGGAAACATTTACATCTGTCATAGATTATGATGGAAAAGCTTCCTTTAAAACCAAATGAAAGTATTCTTAAAAGTGAATGTCTAAAAATTCATTGCTATAACTTCTTTCATCCCCTGTTGTATAACATAATTTCCTTGGATTTAAAAAATTTTCCTTCCTAAAGTGGTTTCTAAAATACGTACCTTTTTGGGTTTTTTGGTACTGGGGATCGAACTTGGGATGTTACGCTTGCAAGGCAGGTGCTGGAACCACTGAGCTAAATCCCCAGCCCAATACATATTTTTAAAAAGTTTTTGCTTTTTGTAAACATGTCTGAAATGAAATAATTTAGGAGTAGGCTATTCATTGTGAACTCTGATATGTTTCTATTTTGTTAATAATCTCTTATCGCTTTTATTGCAGTGGTTATGATATTCCTATCAACCCTTTAAATTTCATCCCTTTCTATTCCGGTTCCCGGCATCATGATTTCCATCACATGAACTTCGTTGGAAATTATGCTTCGACATTTACATGGTGGGATAGGCTTTTTGGAACAGACTCTCAGTATAATACTTATAATGAAAAGATGAAGAAGATGGAGAAAAAAAATGAATAAATCTCTCACAGACCTTCCTGAAGACCTACATTTTCCTGAATTGCAAGTAGTAGCTAACATTGCTTCCAGGGAACAGAAATAAGCATGTGTCTTGGCTGCTAAGTGATGAAAAGAACATTAACAACCTTTAACTGTCTTTCCTAGTGGGAACTTTTTCTACTTTACATACAAGATCTGTGTATGTATAAATAAATATATACTCAAGTACAGTTTTTGTGAGGTTAGCCATGTTGCTAACCTTAAGAGGTTTTTCAGTACTGAAAGAAGTATTGTTTGTCTTTTCCCCCAGTGCTACCAGAGACCTGAAGCTGACAGTCTCTTTAAGTTTGTTAGGTACGTATTGGTCATTCTTAATAATGGTGTTGGCCTTACCTTTGAAACATTTTTTAGAATTCACCTAAAATAAAAATATCATGAGTGGAACTGCAGCAGCTGAGACAGCGAGTGATAAAAGCCAGCCAATCAGCAGCCGCCACTGCCAAGAACTCCTAACTCTTGGCTGGAGCTGATCAGTTTAGGGTGATTCTTTGGGGAGCTATTTTTTTTTTTGGTACTGGGGATCGAACTCAGGACCTTCGGCTTGAGAGGCAGGCAGTGAACCACTGAGTTAAATCCCTGGCCCTGGGGAGCTCTTTTATATCGCAATACACTGTTGGTGTCTGTAAATTAAGACATTTCTGATTTGATGTAAGTGGAATATTTCAGTCAAAAGGTTTCTCAGATTAAATTTTTTTAAAATTCAACTTTCTGCTATTTACCCTTTCATTTTTGTATAGTAAGTTTTCTTTATACTTAAATCTGTATCTTGAAACTTTGTGAACTGATTTGCTGTATTTGCACTTTGAGCTATTGAAATAAATGTGTTTTTTTTCTGACTTTTCTGGCTTCCAGTTTTGAATATTTGCTGTCACCTTTTATTCTTATAAGGAATTCACCAAGCTGGGTGTGATGGCGTGTGTAGTGGTATGCACCTGTAATCCCAGCACTTACTAAACTGCTGCCTGGTGGCTTCACTTCCATGGGTGTTTATCAGGCTTGTCTATTGTGGGAAATTCCACTGACTGAGTAAAATGGCAGATATGGAAGCAGTTCTTTGCTCTGCTTAGAAAATGTTTTCCCCACAGATGAGACAATAAAGCTGAACTTTTTAGAGCTGATAGAATCTCAGCATTCTAGATTCTCCAAATCAAATACTGTAATTCTTAGTAGATGATGGTGGTTGTCAATTTTTTAAACTGGTGGCACACACCTCTAATCCCAGCTATTCAGGAGGGATGCTGAAGCAGGAAGATTGCAAGCTAGAGCCCAGCCTGAGCAAGGTAGCAAGGTCCTGTGTAAATGTCAATAGACATTTTAAAAAAGGGCTGTGAGGTAGCTCAATGCAAAGACCATGGGTTCGATTTCCAGCACTACCAAAGGGAAAAAAAAGACCAGTCATTTCTGAGGACTTTATTTTCCTGTTTTTGAAAACTTACACAGTGAAAGCCCAAGAAAGGATTTGGTTACAACTGAAAATATTTTGGTAGCCCATACAGTGGACCCTTGACTTACGAATTCAATTCATTCACAAGGGCTGGTTGTAACTCAAGTTGGTTACACAGCCTTCAGTCTGTCTCCTGTACACAGGCAGATCTCAGTCTTGTCCTCACATTGATTCATTCTGCATATACTTTAAATGGAATTTTTAATCTGGATATCTGAATCTAGTTTACAGATTCCATTTCTTTCCTGTGCTGGCTGTTCATGGTTTCCATCATTTTCCTGAGTTCCTTTATTTATTTTTTGTATCTGCTTCAGAGTCACTAAGCGTGTCTTTCGTTCTGGTCACCTCTGTAGTTATCTAAGAAACTATTTTTGCTTTGAGTTTTTCTAGTGCCTCGTTCACCTTTATTGCTTCAGCTGTTAACCATTTCAGAATGTCCAGGTGGGTGGCTTTCAGATTGTTCCACCTCATTGCCCTTTGGGTTTCCTTTGATGAGCTGAAAGTTTGAGGAGGTTGCATCTTGTTGAAGTGTCGTCTAATTTTTTTTTTTTAAGTTTAATTCCTGGCTTGATCCTTGTAGATTGCTTATGGTGAGCAGCTTTATTGCCAGTATTCAAAACCCTTAGGAAATGACAGCTTCTCAGAAGCGTCTTCCAGGTGTAGCTGGCTTTTATTTTTGAGTCTGTTGTAATATCCTTCCTCTTCAATAGAGAAGTTTCTGTCTACTTGGCCCAGCACCCAGCTCTTTGGCACTGGTCAATAGCATTTTTAAGACCCTTAGGCAATTTCAGTCATGGTATACCAGGAAGAACAACTGATTAGCACAATTATGTCACCTTGGCTAAAGTAGTAGAATCAGCAATAACAGCATTAAACACAGCCTAGAAAACAAACTGGTAACTATTAATTTGCCACCTTTAACTGTCTGAACTAGGTTTGTGGTTATTTTAACAAAATCTAGAATGAACTAGAAAATGTATGGAATAAAAAAAGCCCTCAATATGGTGATTTTACTCTAAGGGGAGAAGATTTAGAAGGGGTTTGGGGGGGTAGAGAAATAGAAGAAAGGACAAAGAAAGGTCATACAAACTTTTGGGAAACCGGTGAAGAGCATTCAGAAGTCATCACTATGGGTATCAAATATGAGGAGGAGGCCGAGGACCAGCAGCCCATGTACCCTGTAAGAGTCCCTGTGTTTTCAGCACAGGCACTTCTCACCCAACTGCTCCTCTACCTGGAGAGTCCTAAAACTTCAATTTCTCTGAAAAATAAAACTGCTTCAAGAGTGGTGGCTGTGCAGAGTCGGAGAAGGGATCTGTGGCCTAAATGTTTTGTAGAGGGAGTGTTGAATACAGTGGACCCTTGACTTATGAACTCAATTCATTCTCAGCGTCTGGTTGTAACTCAAGTTGGTGAATTGCCTTCAAAGTCTCTCTCCTATATAATTTTAGGCCACACTTTCTTCCAGGCAGATCTCATGTCCTTAGAGACACATTAGCCCAGGATTTCTCACTTAACCCCACGCAGGACAAGATGTAATGTTTCTTCCAGAACTCTTTTAAGTGTTAGGTCTGTATCTGAGACCATCTGGAAATGAAAATGCATGTGAACACAGAACTCATATGTGAATGTCCATAGCAGCATTATTCAGAGTAGCCAAAGAGAGGAAACAACTCAAATGTCTACCAACTGAATGGACAATAAAATATAAAATACCCATACAATGCAATGTTGATCATGTATAGAAACAAATTCTGCACTGATGCATACCTTGAATACGTTATGCTAAGTGGAAGAAGCCAGTCACAAAAGGCCACGTGTATTATTTTATTTACATGAAACAGCTCAAAGAGTCAAATAGAGACAGTAAATGGATTAGTGATTGCTTAGGGTTAGAGTGTGGGATTGTGTTGAGAAATAGAAATTGCTAATGGGTATGAAGTTTTTATTGGGGAGATGAAAATGTTGCAAAATTAGATTGTAGTGATGGTGGCACAACCTTATGAAATTAGTAAAAGACTTTGAATTTTATACTTAAAGGATAAATTGTATGGTGCATGAATTGTATCTCACTTACTTACATTTTTCTTTTTCTGGTACCAGGGATCGAACTTGGGTCCTTGCGCTTGTGCAGCAGGCGGCCAAACCACTGAGCTAAATCCCCGGCCCTCTCACTTAAGTTTTTGTTGCTATTGTCTACATTAGTTAATAGTGCACAGTTTGCAGGGGTACCATAAAAATGAACCACAACCTGGGTGGTTTGAACAAGAAAAAAGCTTGTCTCATGATTCTGGAGGTAGAGCTCCTTCTGAGGTCTGTGAGGAGAAATCTGTTCTGCACGTCTTTCTTCGCTTCTAGTAGTTAGCTGGAAATCTTTTAACATTTCTTGACATCATTCCAGTCTCTGCCTTCATTTTCACATGGTGGTGGTGGTGGTGGTGGTGGTGGTGGTGGTGGTGGTGGTGGTGGTGGTGGTGGTGTGTGTTTCTCTGGGTCTAAGTGTCCCCTTTATAAGAACACCAGTCAAACGGTATTGGATTGTGGCCCACCCTAAAGACTTTATCTTACTTAGAACATTTGCAAAATCCTCTCTCCCAATAAGCCTATGTTCACAGGTAGAGGGGGTTAGGGCTTCAGCATCTTTCGGGGAGACACAGTTCAACCCATAATAAATAATATGGTCATTATTTCCTTGGTCCTGAATACAAGATTAGGGATGTTGGGATAGTGCTTACTTACAGCAAACTCCCCACATTCTCTCTTTAAGACTGTAAAACAGAGGGAAGCTGTTTCTCTACCTCTTCTTTGTTTGATCACTCACCTCGAAGCAAGGGTGATTTTCTAGGATTGGTGAAAACATTTCATAATGCTTTTGTACCCTCAGTGATTTTAGAAGTCATTTTGTTATCTACCCAAAGTTTGAATATCTTTTCTACAACAGAATTGGAAAAAGGCAGCAAGCTGAGACCACCACCCAGCAGAGGTTGGTTTGGTCACCGGTGACAATATTGTGCCTGAAGGTAAGGTGTAGGGCCCAAGGAAATGGTACAGGAGCTATTGACCTTGGTTTGGGGTCAGACTCTGCCATTTACTGGGTGGAGTGGCTGTGTGGCCTTAGACAGGTTTTTCATCTAAATCTCTGTTGCCTTGTATGTCAGATGGAAGTAGTACTGCTTAACTTTCGTGATTTAAAGAACTAAACACAGTTAACTATAAAAACACACACAACTCAGCCAGTGCCCAAGTCAAAATAGAAACAACAAAAGCAAAACAACAAATTTTGAAAAACAATTGAGGTTTCAGTTTATGAATTACTCAACTGGTATTTTTCAAATGATCTACCATACAATTTAGTCCCAATAAAATGGAAAATTTGAGAATCATGGGAGATCTTTTTCATTGTGTGCTATTATTTTCCCATGGACATAGCACTTGATGGATGTATCACTGGAAATACACACCTTTACAATTTGTACATAAAATGTACATTAAAGTAATTTTCTTTCTTTCTTTTTTGGGTACTGGGGATCGAACTCAGGATCTTTTGCTTGTGAGGCAGGCATGGCACCACTGAGCTAAATGCCTGGCCCTAAAGTAATTTTCACTAACTACCAAATACTCATTTAAATTTAAGGTATCTATCACTTCAGAGCATATAACTTATTTTTGTTAAGAACAAAAATGTGTCCAATTTGTTTTCAACTTGATTGGAAAATTTAAGATGATATTCATGATTTTATCAGTCTTATCTTAGTCCAAATAAATCATGTCTTACAACATTTCTTCTCTTTCTTGTTCCTCTCTCCTTCCCCTCTTTCTCTTCTCTCCTCTCTTTTTGTGACATCTTTATAACATCTCTAAAATGGAAATGATTTTGCTGCTGGGATGAGTGATATGCTGGCTTGAAGGAGTAAAATAACTGTAGCACTATATAGTGCAGATGGCTATTCCCTCAGGTAAATTAGTTTACCCAAATGAATAACTAAAAACTTCTATTTCCGTTTATTTTTCTAATTTAGTCAAGGGTTTTCTGTAGCCATTCCTTGATTCTTGCACAGAGCTCACGCAGTAGGATGAATTCCTGGGACGAGGCTGTAGGTTTGAGAGTTGCTCTCGCAAGCGTTAATTCAGTACGATGGGGACAGCAGTGCGAAGGTGGCAGTGTTGTGAGACTTCTCTGGGAAGGTGCGTCCCCTGCGTGAGGCCGCACGCCTGCTCTTCAGCTTTGTGTACAGCCTGAAGAGGCTCAGGCTGGGAACTTGGCAGTGATTAACGTCTAATCCTGACAAAAGATGTTAGGAGAAAGGCTAAAGAGACTCTTGTGGAAATGAGAAGCGAGTTAGAACGAAGTCAAAAATGAGGGCCGGGGATTTAGCTCAGTGGCGCCACCGCC